ACATGGCACAAACGAATTAAACCAAGTAAAGCCACAAACCTTTTTAGTAGCAGGGATATCAGCGTTGACAGACATGAGGGCACAACGAATAATCTTGCCGCTAGGATTTGAAAATGTTGGAACTAGAATGCCATCATATAGCTCAATCAATTCATCCACCATTGGTCTCAAAAAATGGTTAACTTCTGATATTGATGGTTCTGAAGGACCAGGCATCAATCCGACGAGGATCATATTATGTTGTTTGTATCTTTCAGTTCGAGGCAGATTATTGATGACAAGATAGATTGCACCAACATGATAGTTCATACCTTTAGTAGGTGTAAACCAATCCACATTTAAGCTCAACATCAACGAACCTTCTTTGGATACAAAAGGATTACTTTCACCTTCTTTTCTAAATTCGTTGAAGTATCTACCATCGAAAACATCAAATAACATTCCTGGTACTGTACTTCTAGTTCTCCAATGCTCAACCTTTTTCTCAAAATTTTTACGCATAAAAAATCGCTCTAATGTGGTTTTGATGGAGTTGTATGCATATTTTTTGATAGGCTTCACATTTCCGTTCGTGTCTTTAATAACTAAAGGAGTATTACAGCGCTGTCTTATACCATTGGCGTAAGAAGGGACTTTCAAGTTTGTGCATTTTTTGATAATGCCTGAGCCATCGATAATGTCTGAATAGTTGTAAATAAAGTTACACGTTCTACAGACAATATATCTTCTCATTCCTATAATATATAGCAATAATAATTAATAACACATAAATAAATAAATATATTAATTGACGTCTATAAAGTAATTAGTAAAATTACCTCTAATGGCAAAGTCCGCGCTTACTCTTGACTTAACAGTTTGAAGCTTTGTAGGGAGCTTATAATGATACCCAAGCAAGCTAAGAACGGCATTCATAAAATTTAGGAAAAGCTCAGAAGATTTAACTGAAAGATTCCCAATTTGAAAAAAGACAAGGAAAATCATAATGAAAAAAGGGAGAGCTTCATTGGAGCCAATATTGAAAAGCTGCTCACTTTCAACGACTCTATTGTTGCTAGCATTATCTGTTTGTTCAAATGATCAGAATGTTAGAGTTGAATTTATAATATTTATTTTTTTTTATTAATTAAAAAAATTAAAATACCTTCAAGGCTTATTTCACCAGCCATGTAATCTAATGCATCAACTTCTTCTTCTTCTTCGATACTATTATCGATAACGATTTCGTCGTTAGCATCGTAGAATAATTCTTGTTCATCAGGATGATGAACAGCATCTATATATTAATTACACAAAAAACGATGTCGATTAGACAACAATGTTATTATTTACGCGTTTTTTATTATTATTTTGAGTTATATTGTATTATTTCTGATTAAATTATTACCATCGAATGTCTCTAATTGTAGAAGATCTCTTTCTCGATGGATACGAGCTGTATGTCTGTGGACAATGTCGTAACCCAAAGGATTAAGAGAACAAGTGAAACATCTGCATTCTTCTTGGTTGAAACGTAATTGAGGCATGTTGAAAATAGATTATAATAAAAAAAATATATAATATTTGTTAAAAAAATAATAATTTGTTAAAAAAAGCAATAAAAAGGAAGAAAGATTAATCTATACGTGAACAAAATTATTATAAAATTCAAATTCAATAATTTGCTGTATTTTAAACTGACATCCAGAAAAAAAATAAACTGTCAACTTCAAAATGTTAAGATGCTTCTTTTAAATGCACAAACAAGTGTAAGTCTTAAGAACTACTAACAAATGTATATTTTAATCTTTTACAGTTATGTAAGAAATGTCAAAATTAGAATTAACTCCCATGCATTGCATTAAGCCAAAAAAAAATAACAATAAGATGCAAACAATTATGAAATGTAAAAATAAAATAAAAAAATACCGATAAACTATTTAATGTATCTAAAGTCTATATACGAAAATATATTAGAAAAATGTAAAGGCTATTACAAAAATAAATATTGTTTTTACTTCAAAATGTCATGTCAAATTAAGCAATTCACATTACTTTTTTTTTGCATCCTTTAATTTTTTTTTCGTTTTTTAAAAATAAATTATATATTCTCATAAAATAATTATATCTTAGATTCTGTTAACTTTTATTTACTCTTAACCCATATATAATAATTATTTTTTCTCTTACTTTACTTTTTTTTGTATGAACATTATGATATTTACTGCTGTCATTTTAAATTCAGAATATAATACAGCTAAAAAATATTCTTCATTCAAGTTTCAGATGAAAAAAAAAAGACAAAAAATTAAAGTATTTTATTTTAGCCTATCAAATTTGATAAATAAATTTGTCATCGGAATTAAAAATTCATTTGAACGAAAAAAAAATATCTTTAAAAAATTATAGAGTATTTAGTAATAAAATGAATCTTTAAATGCTAATATCTCCATCAATTCTTAACCAAATAAAAAAATTTAACATATTTGAAATGAGCAAATTTTTCTCTTTCATTTGGTATAAAAATTTTTTAAAACTTCCAATTTTCAATTTTCGATTGTAAAAGGTCACCTTTTACAAACTTTTACAATTGTAAAAGTAGACTTTATTTGCAGTGAAAATTTTAAACTTGTCTATTGTTATAGTATTTATAAAAATTTCATTTCCAAGAAGAGCTTCCTTGGCTCAGTTGGTAGAGCGTCAGTCTCATAATCTGAAGGTCGCCAGTTCGATCCTGGCAGGGAGCAACTTTTTTTGTTTTTCTGTCCGTCGAATAGATACAATTTTTTGTAATAATTAAAAGTAATTTCGATAACCAGTTCTTCTTTTATCTATCATCCTCCCCTTTTGATATTGAAATAAAGCGAGTATTTATTAATTTTGTATGCTATTAATATGACAATGCTTGTAGGATTTCCTATGCCAATAGTTGTTAGTGGTTGTTGTTGTAACTGTCATACTTCTTTTTAGGACATCACAATTTATTAGTGTATCGATTTCAGCATGAGTTATTATAAATATCAAACAACAATCATTACAATGAGAATCAAAAGAAACAAGCTCTCTTTCTCTCTCTTTGTATATGAAATAAATAAGGATAAAGATAAATTATTGAACTATATGACTTTCATATTGTTACATATTAATACTTACTGTTACAATCATTTATAGGAGGATTTGTTTGTATATACATGATGAATAAGTCTGGATATAATGCCTTTCTTTATTTTTTTTTTCTTGTGGAAAATAATAGCATTAACTTGGTACAAGAAATAATGCTGCTAAACAAGTATCCTATTTTTATATAATAAATGAGGGATATTTATGATAATTATTTATCTGTCCATGATGACAATCAACTTTTATTTGATAGTATAAAGTGATGCCAGCTTGTTGTATTCTTATAAAAGAATGATAATAATATATTATTAGTGTCTGTATAAACATTTAATCAAAATGAAGCAGATTGGACTGTATTCAGGAGGAAATATAAGTAAATTCTCGAAATTTATCATACTATCTATAAATAAAGGTACAAGTTAAAACTGACATGATTAGACGTTCATCAGCTTATTATATTGAGCTTCTTTTATTTTATTTTTATTTTTATTTTTTTATACATGTATTATATTGTTAACGCCCAAAAGAAAATGGCCTAGCCAGCAATAAATATAAAAACAGAAATTATCATAGGGGTAAGGTTATTATTTTATTTATTTATTTATTTATTTATTTATTTATTTTTTTTTTTAGTTACATAATTTTCACTATGGATAGAGTTAGTGAAGCAGCTGCCCATGATTTAGCTGAAGTCAGAAAACTTGTTGAAGGCATGAATGCTCTTGTTAATAGTCAACAAAAAATAGAATCAGAAAAACAACAGAAACTTTTAAAACAAAAACAAAAGGCACAACAAAAACAACGAGCTCGAAGAGAATCATTAACTCCACAACATGTTGTTTCTCCTGAATGTAAAAATGAATTACAGCAGCATGACCCGATCATTCAACCTTCTTCACAAGATATGTCCAGCAATGACCACTCACCACAGTCATCTGGGTATACTCTGTTTTCCCTTTATTTAAAATATAATTATACCGTTAAACTGCCTTTATTTTTTATTTTTTTTTAGCCAACAAAAACAAATTGCCAATGATCAACCTACAATGCAACTCCCCATGACCAATGGTGTTATTATTGAAGTGACCCATTTAGGATTCACTCGTACATTATATTTTCAATTATCACGTAAGAAGATTTATACAATACTTTTTTCTTCCTGTAGTATTTAGAATTATTCGTATATTATAGTTGAAACAACAATTGAACCATTAATAGCTTGGCTAAGGCTATCATTTTGGGATAATTCTATTTCTGGCATGGTATTACAATATAAAGGGTTCGATGGGTTATGGAAATGTCTTTTGAACAGTAAAAGAAAAAGAAAAAAGTATAAAATCTTATAAGCATGTAAATATATTGATGTGTTTATAATACAGGAGATGATTCACTAAAAAGAATATTAAAACAAAGTCTAAAAAACAATGTAATACTACAAATGAGAGTACCAAGGGAACAGGACTTATTAAGTGTAAGTTTTTATTTATAATTACCAGTGTAATGGAGATACTTATGCATTATAGCAAAAAATAAAATAAAAAAAATAGTCAGGATATACAGACAAGCGTCTTTTAGTTTTAACAAGCAAAATGATTAATAATAACTCGATACATTCATCTATAGCGATCAATAAAGAAGAAGGAAAGTAATAATGGGTTTTTGGTCATTGCATTATTAGAAAAAAAAGTAATCGATGTCATTTTTTTTTTTTTTTTACCTTCAATTTCACTAATACCATAGCATACCGTTTGCTTTGCTCTTTCATACTTGAGATAGCTACATAAATGTAATATTATTTGATTCCTATTAAAATCCCTTATCTATCTTCTCATCTTTTAAAGCATGTCTTCTTCTCCTCCAAAAGCCTGTTGAAGAAGATCTCTTCCGCTACTTTTTAGTGGAGTGTTCAATTAAAAAAAAAAAAAATTGATCTTTTATACTACTTTCATTTGTGCTTCCCTCCGGACATCTCGTTCCCTTCTCTAATATGCTTGGTTTATGTACTCTATCATGGTTCTGATCTATAACTTAGTTCAATAATAAATAGTATAAATTATATTATCTGATTCTATATAGGTATGATATCTATTACTGTAAGATATAAATACATATATAAACTGCAAGCATTATTATTTATTTAAAATGCCGCAAGTAAAGCAACAACAAAAAAAAAAAAAAAAGAATTACATGTGTACAACTACATTTCTTTTTTTTCTCTCTCTCTATTTTTTAATAATAATAATAAAATAGTGTATGCAACGTAACCTTTCTCCAGTGCTGAAACCCTTATTAGCTGATGAAGAACAAGAGTCTGATCTTAATACAACTCAATCTTGGGATCAACTTCGAAAGCAAGCAAGAACATTAGAAGGCGAGATTGAAAGTAAATTAGCCATTTTAACTAAAATTGGGCAATCATCTGGATCAGATAACACAGGGCAAGAAAAAGAAACAGATGAATTATTAAAAAAAGTAATAATTGTGTCAAGTAAGACGTAGTTTACTTGGTTAATCAGCTTACCTTTTTTTTTTTTTTTTTTTTTTTTTTTTTATAATAGTTACAAATCGTTATTACTGCAATGGGTGATTTTATTGATAGACCTAGTACGACGCCCACAAATCCTTCAATGATACATTTATTAAGTAGACATAAAGATATTTTATATGACTATACTAAAGAATTTCGTCGAGTTAAGGTAAGAAGGTGAGAGTAAACATACACTCTTCGTATTTATTTCTATATTTAATATTAGAGTAATATTAAAATAGCAAGAGATAAAGCTAATTTGATGAGTCAAGTACAAGATGAAATCAGAACTTTCAATTCAAGGAATGACAATGGAGATAATGCAGATTATTATTTAACAGAACGTAATCGTATTGAAAGTTCACATCGAATGACAGACATGGTATTGGAGTAAAGTATACCTTGTTAAGTAGTATATATGCATATATTAACTTTTTTTTTTTTTTTTTTTTTTTTTTTTTTTTTCCCGTAGACAAGCATATGCTACAAGACAAGATATTTCACGTCAGGGACGTATTATGCATGGAGTTAATCAAAGGGTTGGAAATATAGTCAGTAAAGTGTTGTTTTCTTTTTTTATTTATAAAATGTATAAATTAATTATTATATACTTACTGCTATTATTAGATCGTATACCTGGTATCAATCATTTAATTACACGTATTAATACAAGAAGAAAAAGAGATACATTAATCATGGCAGGCGTTATTTCGACTTGCTCGATTCTTATTATACTTTATTGGTTACGAACCTAATAATAATAAAAATATATTGTGTTGCTGTATATGTAGTACCTTATTTTTGATTTTATTTTATTTTATTTTATTTTATTTTTTTTAATTTTAATTTCTTTTTTTTTTTTTTTTTTTTTTTTTTTTTTTTTTTCCATATAAAATTAATATAATGTCTAAATTAATAGATGCTTTACATCAGCAGGAAAAAGAATACAATCATAGACCCCCAATTCATTTACGTTCTTCCAAAAGTACATCCATTCGACATAATTTACTATCACCTACAAGAACTACAAGTGGATCGCTTCGAGGTGGCTCAACAAGAAGAAGAACAAATAGTTTAACTATTGCTGCATCAAAAAAAGATTTAAAATTATTACCAAGACTTGAAGAAGAGAATGCCAATTTACCACCACAAGTATGTCAAAATAGTATTGACTGACCAAAAAAAAAAAAGTTCATCTATATATACATCTATCTCTATCTATCTATCTATTATTTTAGGATTCAATTGAATTCATTCTTGCCCAAATTGAAAGGCAAAATGCTATTTTAGATGAGGATCCTAAATCAGTTTGTATTCAATCCAATCAATTAAAATGCACTCTATCGACTATACAACACCTTGCCTCGAATGAACCAGAAGGAGGAGAAAGCATTGATTGGGAATTTTGGACAGCATTAACAGAAGATTTTAGTGCAGTTGCACTCAAGTTGCCTCATCTTGTGTCAGCCAAGATAAGGGCGGGTATACCATCTAAAGTAAGGGGAGTCATTTGGCAAGCTATGTCACAGTCTGCTTCATTGAATTTAGAAACTGTTTACGGCCAACTTGTTGCTGAACATTCACCTTATGAGCGTATTCTTCAACGTGATCTCGCCCGTACCTTTCCCGGGATTGACATGTTTAAACAAGAAGGAGGAACAGGTCAACAATCATTGGAACGGGTTTTAAAAGCTTATAGTCTGTATGATTCATTGGTTGGTTATTGTCAAGGTTTAGCATTTTTAGTGGGTCCTTTATTACTAAATGTAAAACATACATATATACATATATATATATATATCCTGTGTTATTTATTAACACTATCTTTAACTTTATTATTATTATTATTATTACCGACTTTGACTTTAGATGCCAGAACAACAAGCTTTTTGTGTATTTGTTAGAATTATGGAAACTTATGAGATGAGGTCGATGTTTACACTCAACATGGAAGGTTTACAGCTTCGACTTTATCAATTTTCAAATCTATTAGACCAAATACTTCCTGATTTATCGAATTTTTTAAGAGTACATGAAGTGAATGTGCCCATGTATGCCTCTCAGTGGTTTTTAACGTTATTTGCGTATGCTTTCCCTATGGAGCTTATCATGCGTATTTATGATATTGTGTTTGCAGAGGGAGCAGCAGAGACGATTATGCGTGTGGCTATTGCGATGCTTAAGCGATCCCAGGCTACTATCATGCAACTTAATGAATTTGAAGATATTCTTGATTTTTTATCTACAAAACTATATGAAGCATATCACCATGACCCAGGCCAGGTCATTTCAGATGCCGTCAGTCTGAGTGGTCTCATCACGAAAGAAAAAATGGATCATATTGCAGAGACATATGTGGCAGAGTTAGAACAAGAACAAAAGCAAACTGAACAAGTACTGGCAGTTCGATTTAATTTTTGGTCCAATAATAAATCGAATAATCATAGTCGAGCTGCAAATCGAAAGAAAAAGACCATGTCATGGTATAGTGTACCAAAGAAATCCACTGACTCGGATCGATCCTCTATTCAATTACGAGAACCTGATGTCTCTCAACTTCATCATCAAATTGAAGACCTACTATCGGCCTTATCTCAAATGCAACGAGAGACGATTGAACTCAAGGATGACTTGATGCAAACACGTTTAGAAAAAATGGATGTGGAAGCAGAGCGAGATGCTCTGAAGATGACCATCAAGACCTTTCACAGACATGAAGAAGATGCAACGCCACTTACAAGGGAGAACAGAAAGCTGAAGCAAGAGAATGAAGATTTACAACAACAGTTGGTCATGTCAAAGGATGCGTTAACTGCGCTTGTTGAGCGTATGTTGGATATGAAGAATAAAGTGGATCTTCTTGAACAAGATAACTTGAAATGGAAGCATGAATGTCAAAAATTGGAAAATGATAAAAAGAAATTAAAACAACAGCTATCAGTAGTGAATCATATGGATCATCATTCAAGTACAACAAGTTTAACTTCATCTTCATCCTCTTCTATAAAGGACTTTTTATTTAAAAGATCATAAACATTTAATTACTATTATTAATATGTATATGCAATAATAATAATAACAATAAAGAAAAGAAAGTATAGATAATCATTGGACAATACACAAAAAAAAAAAAGGCCTCAAAATGTCTCATTACATAATGATTTGTGTAATGATCGTCGTATCATATGATAATGAAAAGGGAATCATTACTTTTATAGTCATTGTAGTTTGTAGTTTGTAGTTCGTAGTTTGTAGTTTGTAGTTCGTAGTTAGTAGTAGTAGTAATAGTAATAGTAGCAGTAGTAATAGTAGTAGTAGTAATAGTAGTAGTAATAGTAGTAGTAATAGTAGTAGTAATAGTAGTAGTAGTAGTAATAGTAGTAATAGTAATAGTAATAGTAATAGTAGTAGTAGTAGTAGTTAGTAGTCGTAGTCGTAGTTTATTTATTATTTGTATAGTCAATAAAAAGAAAAAGAATTATATACAGTGAAAAAGAAAGAAAAAGGAATGTATTATGAATATATTATTGACAGCTATGAATTTTACAAAACCATACATTTCCCATAATTTCATTTAATCTAATACGAGTTTCAGGGTTTGGATCCAACATACGATAGACAACACGCTTTGCTTCAATATCGATGCCTTCTAAAGCATCAAATCGACATTCTTTTGCTCGTTTACGAATTGTTTCTCTTGCCTTCAAGATACTTGCTTCACGTTTTAAACGTTCCTTAACTCGTTCATCTTCAGTCATTGAATTTTCATCACGAGAGGTAGATGACATGACAGATCGATGTGCATTCTCACGTTCTTCATCTAAGATTTGTCTAAACTTCAAGTATTTATCATAATCTTCATCTTCACCAGCTTTCGCAATATGCCACATATAAGAAGATTTTCTCATTGACATGTAAATGATACCACAACTCCAGATATCCACAAGACGAGGATCATAATGATCTTGTATGAATTCCTCTGGAGCCATATAAGGTTCTGAGCCGGCCAGACCATGGACGACATGATCCTCAAAGTAGATAGCGGAACCAAAATCGGAAATCTTTAAACAACCCTCCTTGGTTAATAAGAGGTTTTCAGGCTTAAGATCACGATGTGCGACACCCATTGAATGCATATAGGTCACACCATGTATCAACTGTTTAAAAAAGCAATTGGCTTCGGCTACTTCAAGGCCCTCAGATTGATTACAAATAATATCAAAGAGATCACCTCCTCCACTGTATTCCATAACCTGACAAAAACTAGTCGATGTTTCACTTATGGGTAAAATATCTAATGTTCGAATGATATTGATATGATCCATATTAGTTGCAATATTAAATTCCAATGCAAGTCGTTGAATATAATGCGTAGATGATTCTTGTGTTCTTTTACGTAATTCCTAATAAATGCATAAATTAAAATTATGAGTAATGATAATAAAAGAAAAAAAAAAAAAAAAAGAAAGTCTCGTTTCTAATAGTCATAGTCATAGCCATAGTAGCATTATTATTGTTACCTTAACAGCATATAAACGCTCTGTAGAGCCATCTATTTGTTGATGAACTATTCGAACAATGCCAGAGGTTCCTTTACCTATCGTTTCTTGACATAGACCCCATTTTTGTTCTAATGTTAAATTTTCTTTTGGTCTACGAAGTCGTGCATTAAGAGTATCTTGCATGTTTTGTAATTCATCTAGATTTACTCTCTTTTCTGTCCATCGTTTATTAGCAAAGATACCATTCACGATACCATTAATAGAGGCTGTAATTTTATTTTGAGCTGGTAACGTCAAATGATGAACATGTGTATTATTCTCAAGTAATTGAAAACGAGGCAAGTGAGTGGATTTTTCGTGAGTGATACTTGAAGATAATGATTTAATACTTGGTTGACGTGTAATAAGTGACTTGACACTATGATTACTACGGTTACGTTTATGTGTCGTTGATGTTGTCTTATTGTTCTCTTTATCTTCATTATCAGGTTTAAAACCAATGACACTATTTGGTTGTTGTAAAGGTGGAGGAGGCATTGACGTTGTTGATAGCAGCTTGTCTCTTTTAACAGTTTGTCCTTTATTGAATAATGTTTGAAAGATACCCATTTCTTTCTTTAGCTCTCTTTATAGGTATGTATGTATAGAGAAGAAGAAAAATGTATGTAAATGAAAATAAAATAAAATAGAATAAAAATAAAAGTTTTTTTTTTTTTTTTTTTTTTTTTTTAATAAGTAAATAATTGGATAGAAAAAAAAAAAAATAAAAATAAAAAAAAAATAAAACTTAATTTTAGTGTCACCTAAAGAAAGAATCCTAAATTGGAAAAAACAAAATCATTGTTTAATACGTAATTTACCGAGATAAAATAGATTGGTTGCATATTGACAACAAACGGTTTAAATGTCTTAGTAAAATTATAAATGACATAATTTCGATAAAGAAGAAGTATTTTATTTATTACTACTATCACTACACGTTATTGTAAACTCTTATTGTATTTAAAGGATGAATAATTCTTCCGCTTATATTTAACTCTACACGTCATTTACATACAATCCAATCTATGCTCCTCTCCATCAATTCATTCAACATCATTCAAAATTTTCCACTTTTTCTCTGTGCAACTATCATTTTTTTTTTTATAATTATTATTTATCATAATATCAAATCCATCTTTAAAAAGAAAAAAAAATTAGCTATAATATCGATGCTTCTCTTTTTTTTTAAAGAAAGAAAAGAAAAGAATAGAAAAGAAGGAAAAAGAAAAAAGTAATTTATCGACGATAAGGTTCAGGTGAGTCGCGTCTATATCCACGAGAATCCATTAAAGGAGGAGGAGGAGCAGAATCTAGAGATAAAAAAAGATAGTTAGAAATTCATAAAAGACTTTTATAATCTATATAAAAACTTACAAGGATCATTCATTGAACGATCACGATGATCATCCATAGGTGGAGGAGGTGGAGGAGGAGCGCGTCTACTACCACGTTGATCATCTTTCTTTGAAAGTCCAACATCCCTAATAATTGATAGAAAGTAAATTCATTTTGATCGATTCTAGTTCAATAAATATCATTCCTTTACCAGTCAAGTCTTAAACGACGTCCTTCAACACTAAAACCATCAAACTTATCATAAGCTTCTTCAGCATCACGTCTATCTTCAAATTCAATAAAAGCAAAACCTTTGTTCTTATTAGTGACAGTATCCATTGGTACAGTAACTGATTTCAAACGACCATAACGTTCAAACATATTGGCCACCTATTTATAAAATAAAGATAAATATCTTCTTTTCCCTTTTTTTTTAATTTAACTTTACATCTCTTTCAATAAAGTCATAAGGCAAATTTCCAGCATAAATAGTAGTTGTCGTCTTTCTATCTTGTTCAGATCCCCTATAAACTGGTCTTCTTTGTCTTGTTCTAGGAGGATAACGACTTCCTCTTCTATCATCATAACGATCTCTATAACGGTCCCTATCATATCGACTGCTACCATAACGGTCTCTATCATAACGGTCATAATAATGGTCACGACGAGGATAGGAATCATATCTATCTCTATGATGGTCCCGACTACTATAACGACGATCATCATCACGATAATGACGTCTATCGTCATAATATCTACTTCTACTAGAAGAACGATGTCGAGGAGATAAAGAGCGATCACGACCTACAGATGAAGAAGATGGTAAAGGATTTGAAGGTGGTGGAGGTGGAGGTGGAGGTGGATAATCATCGACAACATTTTGTTGGTGAGATGGTGATTGATCAGTCATTATGGTCTATAATAAAGAGTATTTCTTTAATATTTTCAAAGAAAAAAAAAAAAAAAAGAAAATGTTTTAAATGAAAAAAAAAAAAAAATAATAAAAAAAAATTAAAACGCCCCCTCTTTTTTTTATGATGATGACCTCGATATTCAGCACAAGCCACACGTTATGTTCACACACATGTACACTTGTTTTAGATGCCAGCAAAAAAAAAAAAAAAAAAAAAAAAAAAAAAAAAAATAAAGCAGCATTCTTCTCCATAACAAAACGAATAGTCTCCTTTTTTCAAAATAAATAAATAATATAGTTGTATATAATAAAAGAAAAGTGTTCATAAAAGTAGTGACATCTATCACATTTAAATGAACGATAGTTGTGTATATTATGTAATATTTTTTTAAAGTAAAGTTTAATTCATAATAATGAGTTTATCTTTATATCATAGGTAATAACCCAAAGTTTTTATTTTCAAGTACTTGTATACTAACAAGGCTTCTTTCCTTTTTCTTTTCTTTTTCTTTTCTTTTTTTTTTTTCTTTTTTTTTTTGTTGTTGCACTATATAATAACTTTATTACCTTTTTAAGGTAAATTATCCGAATATCGGTATTCTTCATAGTGTGAACATAATACAAGTAGTGTACATGAATAGATTTCAATATAAAATACTTCTTCTCCACTGTAAATTATAAATATTCAAAGTTTATTACAAAAGAGAGAAACAAAAAAAAAAAAAAAAAAAAATTCAGGGTTCAATACATACATACTAAATGGAGTAATTGTAATAAAATAGGAAATTTCCCGAATCATCAATAATATACAACGACTAGGATGTTTTATATACCTTTCTCACCTAAAAAAAAAAAAAGCATATATAGTTGGAGAATATAATTTTCCTTTTTTTCTTTTTCTTTTTCTCTTTTTGTTCTTTTCATTATTATAATGTCTGCTAATATCTGTCAATCAAAAACAAATCCTTCTTTTGTCCTTCAACAAATAGAACAAATTTCATTTGTAATGTATTTTTTATCTTATTTTATTTTACTTTTTATTAACTTTTTTTTCATTTTTTTTCATTATTTAGGAAGATAGAGCCATACCTGTTGCAGGTCCTGATCAAGTCATTGTCAATATAAAAGCAACAGGTATTTGTGGCTCAGATGTTCACTATTGGGTGCACGGTCGTATTGGCCATTTTGTTTGCCAAGGTCCCATGGTTCTTGGTCATGAATCTGCAGGTGTGATTGTCGCTGTTGGTGAAGGCGTTACGACTCTTAAAGTAGGCGACCGTGTTGCTCTTGAACCTGGTGTCCCCTGTCGAATGTGTGAAATGTGCAAGAGTGGTAAATACAACTTGTGTCCTGATATGGCCTTTGCAGCTACTCCACCTTATGATGGTACTCTCTGCAATTTTTATAAGCATGCTGCTGATTATTGTTACAAGTTACCTGATCAAGTTTCCTTTGAAGAAGCTGCCCTGATCGAGCCTTTATCAGTAGGTATTCATGCAACAAGACGTGGTGAGGTGAAATTGGGTGATAGAGTATTTATATTTGGTGCTGGACCTGTGGGTCTCTTGACGGCAGCTGCTGCAAAGGCCGCAGGTGCAGCTCATGTCACTATGGCTGACATCTCTGCTTCTCGTTTGGAATTTGCAAAGTCCTATATTGCAGATCAAGTAATTCATTTGACAAATAAAAAAGGAGAGAGTGAAGATAGTAATGCTTTTGCATTTAAAGAGGCACAAGATATATTAAAAAGAACAGGTATTCAGACATGTCATGTTGTATTTGATTGTACAGGAGTTGAAGTTTGTGTTCAAATGTCTATTTATGTAAGTTACACTCGTATAAACATATATATTTATATATACAATATCACTAAGGAATTATATTATAGCTTGTTAAAAATAACGGTAAAGTTGTATTAGTTGGTATGGGTGCATCTGTGCAATCACTTTCTGTAGCTGATATTTCTGCAAGAGAAGTGGATATTAGAGGTGTGATGAGATATTGCAACGTAAAGTATTTCTCTTATATACATATATATATATTTATATGCATATATATTAATTTCATTGCTTGAATTTTATATATACATATTTTATGAAATTTAGACCTATCCTACTGCTGTTGAAATGTTAGCGTCTGGTAAAGTCGACTTAAAAAGTTTAATTACTCATAGATACAAGTTTAATGATGCACTTGATGCATTTAAGCATGTTCGAGAAGGTCGTGAAGGAACTATTAAAGTCGTCATTACAAATGATGATGTGTAAATAATATGTATACAAAAAAAAAAAAAAAAACACTTCAGTATAGTCTTAAATCATTAATAATTTGTAAGATTGAAGATACTACAATATATACATATTTTAATAATTCTAAAATTAAAGATAACTATTCAATTATAAGAAATTAAATAATAAATCTCATGTATTCGAAATTAAAGTATTTACGTCTTTTCAAGAGATGATTCTCCACATAGCTATTGAAATAGTTTAATGCATTCTTTTCTCTTCTTCTACATTGAATAAAATCACCTATATAATTATTATGCTTGATTATTATACACACAGATTATTATCTTTTACTATCAGACAGCTTAAATCTCTTCAGAAACTATTATAAATATCTATTATTGCCCCCCTTTTTTTTTTCTTTCTTTTAAATTAAATAGATAACCTTCTTCTTGTGTCAAGTCAATTCTTTAATTTAGACATTCTATTACAAGTATCAAACTGTCTAGTTAAAGCATATACTGTTAAAGCAATTTGATTCAATACAACTTATCCCTGTTTATATTATATATATGAAAGTAGTGTATCGATTGCACAATGGATACACTTCTATTTAGCATATTCCTTCTTATATTATTTTACTAATAGGTGCACTAGTTGCATCTTTGAAGATATTAACACTATTGACTCTTACCGTCCTCTCCAATTTTGTTAAAACATATAAAAGCTTATTTTATTTAATAAAAATAGATATAATTATATGCGTTGGATAGGTTTCTGATCAATAGTTTGAAAATATTTCATCATATGCAATATTTTGCAACTATAATAGGTCTAGTCTATATTTTTATATGTATAGAAAAATGCAAGTGTTAAACTTGATAATAAGATAATCCAATTGCTGTGTAGATATTGTCTACGATGATTAAGATTCAATAACATCTAATAGAAATATGTTACTTACTTGGCTCTTCTTTTTGAACTTATCATGATTTGAACCTTAAAACCTAGTACCAGTGGATTTATTACTGAAGATATCTTTGATTTATCATCGTTACTCTCTTGTTTAAAACAAAGGAAAGAAAATAACATATAAGCTGCACTCATCGTTATCATTTTTTTTTAATTTTATAAAACCAGTAGCTTCTTCTACTACTATTTAAGAGAATAATAACTAAACTATTATCTCTACTTCAGGAATTGAATATATTATGTCTCAGTCCCTTCTATTTATCTACTACTTATAATTATCATTACTTAGTACAATTATTGGAACTTCTTGTTGATGGAACAAAGATTTAAAGAAAAGATAGCAGAGTTATACTCTTCTCTAAAAGTTATAGAATCTAACAACTCATACATTGTCTATTGGAAATGAGTAACTGTTTATATCATCACCATTTTTCTAACACAGAATCAAGTCTAGTAATAATGCATGGTATACAAGATATATAATTATTGTTTCTTTGACAGTTAGGGAAATCTTGCTAATTTTCACAATTCGATGAGCATAGAGCCTTTCAACATATTCTGTTCTACTAATAATAGTCATACATGTATTACATAATATTGTATTTCATTATTAAGAAGAAGATAATCTAACTTTGATCTATAACAATAAATCTAACAGAGAATACGTTTTTCTTTATTATTATTATTATTTCTTGTTATAATCAATAAAAATAATTATTCTTACATACATCAAAGTAAGCTTATAAATACGATGCAGGAGGTTATTTTCTTCTTTTTTATACTATATTCATTTTTAATAAAGCTATCAATTATTAAACGTCAAGTCTTAAAGTTCAGATGATACTGCAAATAGCAATTTTTTTTAAAACTCCTCATGTATTTTCCTTTTAAAGACTATATGATATGTTAATTACCTTTTTTTTTTTTTTTTTTTTTTTTTTTTTCTTTTTCTTTTTCTTTTTGATTCATAAAACAAAATGGGACATCTGTAAAATTGACATTCCAAAATTATTATTATTATTATTTAGCTTCAATCAACTTCTAAACGTTTTATTTTATTAGAATCACGTTGGCAACTTGTTCACTTAATCAATGGGCACTTGATTTTGAAGGCAATCTTAAACGTATTTTAGAAAGTATTCGCGTTGCTAAGGAAAGAGGAGCCAAGTTACGTGTAGGCCCTGAACTTGAAGTGACGTAAGTTTGTTTGTTAAATTTCTTTTTTTTCTTTAAAAAAAAAAAAAAAAGAAAAGAAAAAAAAAATAGTCATAACTCATTACTTTTGTGTTAAAGTGGTTACGGTTGTCAAGATCACTTTTTAGAAGGTATGAAAAACATACAAGTTAGTCTTTATTATGCTTACACATAGAACAATAGGTGACACATATTTACACTCTTGGGAAGTTCTTGCCGAAATCCTTAAAAGTGAAGAAGCAAAAGATATGATTCTTGATATTGGCATGTAAGTTGAGAGTTATGAACGAAATAATAATAATAAAATTGCTCTTATGTAATCACGACCTCTATCTATTATTAGGCCTGTCATGCATAAATCTGTAAAATACAACTGTCGTGTCATTATTGCTGATGGCAAAATTGTCTTGATTCGTCCCAAGATTTATTTAGCTAATGATGGCAATTACCGTGAAATGCGATTCTTTACTCCTTGGACACCTAGAAAAGTTGAACAGTATTTTTTGCCTCGTATGATCTCAAAAATAACAAAACAGGTAATTTAAAAAAAAAAAAATAAAAGCCGGAATCCAAATAATTTAGTTAGTTAGTTATAAAATAGGTTTTGGTTCCTATTGGTGATTGTGTTATTAGTACTTTAGATACATGTATAGGCTGTGAAACATGTGAAGAATTGTTTACACCTGCAAGTCCTCATATCAGTATGGGATTAGATGGCGTTGAAATCTTTACAAACAGTAGTGGAAGTCATCATGAATTACGCAAATTAAATACTCGTATTGATCTCATCAAGGCAGCCACAGCTAAAGTAGGTGGTATCTATCTTTATGCAAATCAACAAGGCTGTGATGGTGATCGTCTTTATTATGATGGCTGTGCCATGGTTGTCATGAATGGCGAAGTCATTGCTCAGGGATCTCAATTCTCTTTAAAGGATGTGGAAGTGATTACTGCAACCGTTGATCTCGAGGATATCCGTTCATATCGAGCACGTGTAGCCAGTCGTGGAATGCAAGCACAAGCGACCCCTGCTTATCAACGTGAAGAAGTGAACATCGCCTTGAGTCATAGTCATATCAATGATAACATTCATATCCGACCCACCAAGCCTCAGAGACCCTTTTATCATCTTCCTGAAGAAGAGATTGCGTTGGGACCTGCTTGCTGGCTATGGGATTACTTGCGTCGATCCAAAACTGCGGGTTACTTTTTACCCTTAAGTGGCGGTATTGACAGTTGTGCTACTGCCGTTATCGTTGCCTCTATGTGTCGTTTAGTGGTCAAAGAATGTCAAGCAGGCAATCCTCAAGTCTTGGAAGATGTGCGTCGTTTAGCAGGCGGAGATGCAAGTTACACTCCTAATGATCCACGTGAATTTGCTAATCGTATCTTCTATACTTGTTATATGGGAACAGAGAATTCAAGTAGCGAGACACGCAAACGTGCAAAGGATTTAGCTAAAGTCATCGGCAGTTATCACACAGATCTCAACATGGATAGTGTCGTTAAGTCAATTCATGGTTTGTTTACGTTAGTCACAGGCAAGATGCCCAAGTACAGAGTCCATGGTGGTTCTGACACAGAAAACTTGGCTCTTCAAAATATCCAAGCACGTTTACGTATGTTGCTTGCTTATCTATTTGCTCAACTTTTGCCATGGTGTCGTTCTATCAAGGGAGGTCTGTTAGTCCTGGGTAGTGCCAACGTTGACGAAAGTCTTCGTGGCTATCTTACTAAATATGACTGCAGCAGTGCAGATGTAAACCCTATTGGTGCTATCTCCAAACAGGATCTTAAACGCTTCATTGCTTATGCTCAACATACCTTTGATATGCCTATCCTTGGTGATTTCCTATCTGCTGTTCCTACTGCTGAGTTAGAGCCCATTACAGAGACTTATGTACAGTCTGATGAGGCCGATATGGGCATGACTTACGATGATCTCTCACGCTATGGACGTCTTCGTAAGATTGATCGTTGTGGTCCTTATTCGATGTTTTCAAAACTAGTTCATGAATGGGGTGATGATATGAAACCTACTGAAGTAGCAACAAAGGTCAAACGTTTCTTCTTTTATTATTCTATTAATCGACACAAGATGACAACTATCACGCCTTCATACCATGCTGAGGCTTATAGCCCTGATGATAATCGTTTTGATTTAAGACCCTTTTTATATAATGCTTCCTGGAAGTGGCAATTTGATAAAGTAGATCGACTTGCTGAAGAGTTGGAACGACAAGCTAGTGAAAATCAATTGAATAGTCAAGTTGATTAAAATAAACTTTATGCAGTTCTCTCTTTTTTTTTTTTTTTTTTTTTTTTTTTTTTTTTTTTTTTTTGCGTAGATTATGATAGGTTTTTAAGCTTAGACTAAAAATAAAATAAAATAAAAATAAAAAGCCACATGAATGAATGTATAAATATTCTTCCCCTCCCCCCCTTTTTTTTTCCTTTATTTCAAATTTATAGAAAAAAAAAAGAAATGTCAGCTGTATTACAAGTTAAATGGAATGGAAAGTATTTTCCTCTTGAATTTGAAACTACCAAACAATTAGAACAAACACAAGTAAAAGAGTTAAAGTCATATTGTCAACGCATAACGGGCATTCATCCTTCAAATATGGCCATTTATGCTTTTGGAGGTAATTGTTATTTATATGCATAAAAAAAAAAATAAAAGGAAAGGAAAGGAAAGGAAAGAAGAGAGATGTGAAAAAAAAAGGAGGGGAAATTAAAGCAAGTTTTCTTTTTTTTTTTAAAAAAAAAAAGCTAATTTTGTTTCATAGCTTTAATGAATAATGATGACTTGTCACTTAATGTATATGGAATCCGAAATGGCTGTTATGTCATTTTAAAGACAAGGAAGGGTCCTCATCCTCATCCTCAAAGAAATCATTCAAAAGAAAAAGTATATATATACATTATTGGTTAGTAGATATATTTACTTATTATCGTATGAATAGAATCTACAAACAAAAACACAACATCATGGTCCAAATGATGCATCTAACAAAGAAACAATATCAAAGGACGAAGCAGTATTACTAGAACAATTAGACAATATCAAAAACAAGATTACTAATGACATTACCCCTCAAGTACGTACCTTTGAAAAGGATGTGAAAGAATTCATGAGTCAATCAAAAAAGACAGACAAAGAAAAGAAGAAGCAAATCTATACGGGCGCTTATCTTGGAGAGCAATTAATGCACGTTTTGTTTGATTTGGATGGCTTTGTTTGTGGACCTGATAATCTTCAAGCGCGTCAATCAAGAAAAGAGGCAGTGAAAAGTGCACAAATGTTATTAGACAAAATAGATGAGATTAAATCCGTTGTAAAAAATGTAGCTGTGGTAGATGATGAAGTTTAGAGAAACTCCATTATTATAGAAAAAAAAAAAAAAAAAAACTTAATCTCTTATGTAATAAAGGCTATGTATTTTTTTTTATTTGATCAAAAAATAAACATGAACAATTTTAATTAATTCTTGTAAGAGATAATACCATCGAAACGTTGCTTGAACCATTCCATAGCTTCCTCCTTCTTGATTTGGTGCTTAACACCAACCTTGGACTTGCAGTGCTTTCTGCGAGAGACACGGAAACCAGGACGACCCAAGACAACATAGTAATCCATACCGTAAATACCAATAGAGGGATCATACTTGATACCCAAATCAATGTGTTCATCAATACCGAAACCAAAGTTACCAGTGTCAGAGAAGTTACGGGCCTTGAGTTCGTATTCCTTGACCTTCAAACCACGTTCAAGGATTTCCTCAGCCTTAGGACCACGGACAGTGACGTGAACGGCAATCTTTTCGTTACGACGAATGGAGAAAGTACGGACAGTGTAACGGGCCTTGGAGTAGACGGGAGTTTGACCAGTCAATTGTTCAAGAACCTTGGCGGCACGAGTAAGTCTATCACCAGATTCACCAACGGAAATGTTGAGAACCAACTTTTCGATTTGGAGGTTACGCATAGGGTTCTTGGTCACCTTTTGTTCTTCGGCGCTCTATTAAAATTACAAAGTTAGTTACATTGTTGCAATGAATTGATGAAGGAATAAAAAGAAAAAAAAGAAGAGAGTAGGATCGTCAGGAACATGTACAAATTCAAAGATCATTTCTATTTTCATCGATTGAACTAGAATAAATAGTCTACCCAGATCCCAGTCTTAATAAGACAAAGTGTCTGTTATTTTGCAAATCGAATTAAATTACTGAATGTTGAGTTTGAGCTAATTAGTAATGTCATTTTTCATTATCTTCTTTTTGGGAAGTCGTAAAAAAAAATTATATCCATTCATCAATCCATTCATCTTAAGCATGTTCCATCCTTCAATCCTCTCTTTTTTTTAATCCTGTCCTTTTATTTTATAGAATCATTACCATGGTGTTGTCTGACGATATCGAAGTAAAAAGAGGGAGAACTTATAATTCACTTTACTTTATCTATATGCCGCTCTTTTTTTGGCTCTTTTTTTTTTTTTTTTTTTCACTTGCACTTTAATTAACATTAACGGAAAATTTTGTATGTGGAGGATGGTCCGGTCGGAAATAGAATATGTCCGGTACATTATTGGCTTTAATAAAAAAAAAAATCTTTTTACATTATGAACACTATTTATTTTGACAGCTACAACACAATCATTATGCTATTCTGTATTTGTTTATTTTCGAAATTTAAGTAAATTTATTCTATGACTGATAATATGATAATGGTCAAATAAACTTTGTAAACAAAACTTAGAAAAATATTTTACTCGTGTAAATTATTATTATTATTATTATTATTTTTTTTTTACAGAAGAGAAATTTTATTAATTCTTATAAAAGAATAAAAAGATAAATCAAGCACAGAAAAAATAAATGTGTCTAGGAAATTTAGTGCTTCTTGTTCTACATTGAAAAAATAAATAAATATTAGTTTGCCATTTTTATGCAAGCTTATTTATATATAAAAAAATAACTTTACCTTGATCTTACGAAGGTAGAATTCGAGTTCCTTACCCTCGAGGATGTAACCGTCACAACGACCAGATTGACCAGGACGAGAAGAGATGACAGCATAGAGACGACCAGCATTGAATTGATCATTCAAGAGAGGATCGACAGCAGCGTTAGCGGCACGAGCAGCCTTCTTCTTGGAGATGGTCTTAGGCTCAGCATTCTCTTCAGCCTTCTATAATAATAATAAAGAAATTAATATATTGGAATTCTTAATCACCTTCTTGTTTATATTAAAATACTTACAGCTTCGGAGGCCTTGGCCTTACCGAGAGGAAGAGCATAGTGAGCTTCATACCATTGACGGAAAGGAGTAGCATCAATTTGAATGACAGCACCCTTAACGAGAGTGTTGGTACGGACCAATTCGTTGTTGGAAGCATTATAAACGACGGTCAAGACACGAGTCTTACGAGAAATACCTTCAGAACCCCAAGAGAAGTTACCAGATTCAAGACGAAGAGCACGACGCTTGAAGTTACCACCACGGACACGAACAAGGTGAATACGCTTAGCACCCAACTTGGTGTTGGCGGCTTGACGACCTAATTCGAACCTAAACAACGAAACAGGTTAACCATTGTTGATCTTATTTTAAATACACATGTATATATATATATTTATTTATATGTATATCAAATTCAATGAGTGAGGATCATGAATGTTTCGATTATCGAGTTTCAGAACATTAAATTAAAAATAAAAAGTTTTTGCTTGTGTCAAATACTGCTGATTCGATTTACTCAATTTTCCAATCAAATAACATTCATAGAATTTCATCCTCATTGAACATCTTAATTGTAAAAAAAAAAAAAGAAAAAAAATAATAATAATACTTACTTTCTCTTCTTTCTGTATTGAGCACGTCTAGCACCGGTGGCGCTGCGCTTGTGACGAGAATCGCGGCTGATACCTTTATTAAAGAATAGATGGATAAGTCAATGGATGTATATGGATGGATGTTAGTGTATGATTTCTTTACCCATATTATTTGCAGAGAAGGAAACTCAAGAAGTCTTGAACAGATAATAGCCTTTTACACTCTGTCTCTCGCCCTCCCATTCTAACAAAATATCTCCGCACAAATCAAAATCAAGGATTAAAAATTGTATCGTCACACTCCATTTCTTCAAATTCCGTTTATTTTTTTAACAATCAGTAAAATTTATTGTATCTGCTACGAACCATACAATTGATAAAATTTAAGCTATTACTATCCCTTCTAAAGTTTCTTCAGTATACATACTGCATTTTCATTGCTAATAATTATGAATTTCGTTTCTTTTTTTTTTTTTTAAGATCAAAGGTCATTGAAGTTTTTATATTATAAATTTGTAGGGCATAAATCATTCTCATTCAGGCACACTTTATAAAGCTTGAATTTTCTATTTTATTTTATCTTATTTTTATTTTTTTCATGTAAAAAAAAAAAAAAAAAAAAAAAAAAAAAGAAGAATTTACAATTCAGCATGTTCGACAACATCAACAGGTAAAGCGCCTGAATCAACAATAACAACATCAACCTTGGGCTTATCTCGGAAACTATTATGTAGAAAAAGATATCAATTTATGTCTTCATTATTTCTTTACAAAGTTAAACTTACCCCTTTTCACAGTTTTCAATCTTGGTAACAACATCCATACCTTCAAGGACCTTACCAAAAACAACATGCTTACCATCCAACCAAGGAGTTTTGACAGTAGTAATAAAGAATTGAGAACCGTTTGTATCACGACCAGCATTAGCCATAGAGAGAACACCCTTAAATTATAAACTAATTAGTATAGTGAATTTATAGTTATAAATATATATGTATATATCTATTAAACTTACAGGACCAGTGTGTCTTAACTTGAAGTTTTCATCAGCAAATCTAGCACCCCAAATAGACTTTCCACCGGTACCATCACCATTAGTAAAATCACCACCTTGAATCATGAAATCCTTGATGACACGATGGAAAGTAGAACCCTTATAACCAAAGCCTTTTTCACCAGTAGCTAAAGTTTTGAAGTTTTCGACAGTTTTAGGAACAGTCTTTCCATATAAACCAATTACAATACGACCGAGATCTTCATCACCTTGTTTAATGTCAAAGTAAACTATTACAGAAACGCGTAAATACATATACTAAAAATAAAATAAATAACTTTACCCTTATCGGTGATAAGAGGGCCAACAGCAGCAGAAACATAACTGAATGTTGTGAATGCAAGAAGCACAGTAAGAATAAGGGCAGAGATGCTAAATCTAGCCATTTTTTTTTTTCAATTACGTTAAGAACAAGAAAAAAATAAAATAAAATAAAAAAATAAATAAATAAAAATAAACTAATAAAATATTCAAATGTGTTACCATTTATTTTCACCAACCATTTTATGCCAATAAGTGAGACAGTAATCATGTTTAACAGCCGATATCCAAAACTATTATTAACAACTGCTACAGTCATCAAATTATCATATAATAACACGCGCTATAGTCTCTCTCTCTCTTTTTTTTTTTTTCGAATATCTATAATAGCTTACTACTGAGGAGATTAATATTAACAATTTCATAGAGTCTTGTAAAAAAAAAATAAAAAAAAGGTAAAACACATCTAACCTTTTCCCCTTTAAAGGTTCCATAAAAAGGTTTTTATAATATTACCTTATCTAGAAAATAGCTGCTGGATATTCTGTTAGTTTTAGATTTAAAGCTTAATTAAAAAAGTATGCTCTTCATGGTTTCTATATAGTTTTTTTTTTTAAACCTAACAATACAGATTTGTAGTAGTAGCAAAAAAAAAAAAAAAAAAAAAAAATACATCTTTCCCACTACTTTTTATAATAACAGAATCTTACTTTGCAAATTCTTTTATAACAGTACTTTGATTTATGTCCATATGAATTGTACTGTTATTATAATATAACTTGTTATTACCTTTATTAATAAAGTACCGTGTCATTTTTATTTCAGGATATAACGGCTACTTTATTCTAGGAAGTATTTACTGTGCCAAAAAAAAAAAAAACAATTTTTGCATTTGAACACGTACGTTTATTAGGATATTTGTAAATAAAATAAATGATAAATTAGACAACTAAATATGATTAATACAGCAGGCTTTGTGATTATTATTATTTAAGTTTGTTAATATTCAACAACAAATCAAAAATATAACAAAAAAAAAAAAAAAAAAAAAAAAATAAAATAAAAAAATAAAATAAAATAAAAAATTTCCATTATACTTTATGAAATAGGATGAATTCTTTGATGAGATTCTAAATGGTGTAGTTTTTTTTTTTTTTTTTTTTTTTTTTTTTTTTTTTGTATTACGTAGAACTAGATCCTAATTACGGCATCATTGAAACATTTATGCAGCACTCTCAATTTGACAGTGGTAATGGTAGTATAAAGATCAATTTTGCATCATTATTTGCTAATACATTTATGTAAATAAAGTTATTTATGTTGTTGTATATTATTTAGTCTACTATTAGATCATAATGAAGCAAGTATAGAATAATGTTTCACCGTAAAAGTAACGTAGATCAGTTGTTGAACAGTTTTTCATGTCAAATAACATTAGTATAAAAAATTGAGGCTAACCCTAATTTATTCATTTTTTTTTTACTAATATACCCATATAAAGTTGATTGTATTTTACAATAGATTTCTTCCATTTTATTTAGTTTATTTAATATTATGAGTCAACAAAATAAATTTCTTTCAAACAATAATCAATTAGGTCAAGATATAGGTTCAGATAATGACCATATGTATGTCTATCATCTTTATACTCTTTATTTTATTTTTTTTAAAAAAAAAAAGGAAAAAAAGAAACCTTCTAAATATACTAACATTTTAATTGGGAATAGTGATTCTACTTTGAATAATCAACGTAATTTAAATGATCGTTTTGAACAATTAACTGTAGATGACCTTACTTCTTCTGCTGCTCAACCTCAGCGTGAGCCTGTCAATGTATATCCCAGTGACTTTGGTGGTTATATGCTTCATCCAGAATATACCATGAATCAAAGCTCAGAATTGAAAAGAGGACCAGAAGACATGATTTCTCGTCATCATCATGAACATGATAATAACATGAAGAAGGATGAACTTGGTAAATTAGCAACCGCTCCTCCACAGAACATGTTTTCTAAAAAGGAAGAACATGGCTATGCTTTACCTGCTCAGAATCGTGATTCAAGACATGAGAAAGATATCACTTTCTTTGGTGATTCTCTTACTACTGAAAGTCATCCTCAATCTCGTTCTTCTCTTGATCAAGATAGTCTTTTCCGTGGATCGATTACAACCTTACCTTCTGCTGGTAAAAGACGTAGTAGCTCTGCCAATAAACAGAATTCTCACATCATGAAGGATACTAGCCCAATTGCTTCCTCTGGCGGTTTGAGTTCTCATCCTGTAAAGACAACAACAACAACTATCATTTCCTCTACAGTTCCTGCTGATATCAAGACCGAACGAGATAGTAAGGCTAATACAAGGGAACATGAAGAGGATCAGCAACAACAACAACAACACAACAATAAAAACAGTTTAGCTAATATGGCTTCTGCTGCTGCTTCAGGTGTTGTTGCTGCTGCCTCTGGTGCTGCTGCTACCCTTTTAGGAACAAATACAGATAGCCAGGAAAAGGACTTTAATCAACATGAGTCTATGCCAAGTACTTGGCCTCAAAAAGGTCTTCCTCCTTCTTCTTCTTCTGAAAACCAAAAGAAGGCCAAGTCATCTCCTGCTGCCCTCAAGGATGCTACAAATAGTGACTATGAACCTGCTATCCATGGTCAAAGCCCTTGCTTTCATACACATGATAATATCTCAAAGGAGCATGTGGAAGATAAAACGCACCCCTTCTGTCGTAATGTTCAGGAGCCCTCCATTCATGGTGAACGACCCAGTTATCAAGACAATAACCAACAGGGTATTCATCCTCGTGTCGCCGCTGCTACTGATAATAACCCGATGAGATCAGATCGTACTCATGACAATCCTATCGATAACACCCACAAGTCCTCTTCTAACATAACAAAGGAGTCGGATAATAAACACGCTCCTTTCGCTGTTCATGACTCTAAAGGAATTGATTCTAAGGCTATCACAGCAAATGATACTTCTTCTCCCGCAGGTCATGCTTCTCTCGGATCACATCCTACTACAGGAATCCTTGCAACTGAATTAAATACTCCTAAAAAGCGAACTGATTTAGGTTCTACCACCATTGAAGAAGGTCAAATCCCCAAGACAGAATCAAATTATGGCCTTGACAAAAACAAGCAACAGGAAAAAGATGTCTCTAGTAGTAGTAGAAGTAGTCAAGGACCTTTAACAGCTCGTCATGTGGGTACTACTGATGATAGAAGCCGCCATGAGATGAGAGGAAGATCGGTGGATGATTCTAAGGCTGATGATGATGATACTATTACAAAATCAACCTCCCAACAGAATGAAGGAAATGGGAAGGGCTTGATGAGTTCAGAGGGTCTAGCTGCTGCAGGCAGTGGTATCGCTGCTGCTATCGGTGGTCTCTTCGGATTAGGCAAACACAAGAATAAAGAAGACGATGACTACCACCATCATGACAACCAAGATAAGTGGGATCATAGTCAACAACAACAACAACATCAAGCCAATACTACTACAGAAAACACAAATAATTTGAATATGGAAAACTTGCCTCTGAATCATACTGTTGATCAAGCGCCTCCTATGGATAAAGAATATCTGGCTGATAATAATGGTATCAAAGATCAACATGCCGCAACCGGTGGTAAAGATCATAGTGGCGGCACTGGAAAATTACATTTGGATAATTTACCTCTCAACTATACTGTTGATCAAAAGGGAGAGAAGCCTATCGACAACAATACTTTCCCACAACAGAAACGTAGTGTACCCCCAGTTCACGCTAGTCAGTTCCCTTGTACTGCCATAGGTCAAACACCTTTAACCAAGGCAGCTTTCAACAATAATGAACATCCAAAGCAATCTATCTCTCCTGTTGGTACTGGCTATAGTCTCCCAGAGCAAGGTCACGGTCATGGTCATGCAACACACCGTAACAACAATCAAAGTTTGTCTCATGCTGATGCCTTACCTCTTGGAGATAAGAATACATTAACTCACAAATCATTTAATGATAGTCAACACCCCTCCCATGACACCGCTCCCTATGGTACAGGATTCTCTACTGTTGTAGGAAATCGTCAAGATACAACAACAGGTAGTCAATATCAGAAGAGGCAATACGATCCAACTCATGCAGATGCTATCCCATTAAGTCATGACAACACGATGGAACATCGCTCCTTTCATGATAATCAACATCCCCAACAAAGGGTAACTCCATTTGCTACAGGTGTAGGTGTTGCTGAACGTCATGATAATGACAACAACAACAACAACAACAACTCTGCTGCTGCTGCTGGACACTACAAAGAAGAGTCAAGACAATCTCATCATGCTGAACCTTTGCCATTGATGGATGTTGTTGATGAACAACAAGTACAACAACCATTAAGCAATCAATCTGCTGAAAATACTTATATAGGAGATAGTGAACACCCTCAACATATCGTGAGTGCTCCTCCTGCTACAGGGTATGCTATTGTTGGTCAACAACAACAACAACAACAACAACAAGAAAAGAAGGATTATGGTCATTATTATCCTAAGGAGAAACAAACTTCTGATAATGGTAATAACAATACAGAAAAGGGTTCTTCAGATCATCATAGCGGCGGTATCACTCAAACTCTCATGGATAAAACTACCTCTGCCCTTCGTCAGATGGGTCTTGCATCTGATAAAGATCAACATCATCATCAAGATAACTCTAATACAATTGAATCCTTGCATGATCAGCCACGCTCTGCTTATGATGTAAACAATCATCAAAAGTACGCCCATATCTCTAACATAGAGAATATGAAATTAGCTGGTACAAAAGGTGATAGTACTACAAATGACACTAGCAATAATTTTATCAAAAAATCCAATTAATTTAGTCTTCATAATATAATTCAATAAAAAAGAAAAGAAAAGGAAAAAAAACAATTATGTGTATATACTATTTTACTCATGTAATATCGTGCTTTTCTATATTTATTAAATAAATAATTTATATCACATTATATATATAAACATAAAAAAAAAAAAAAAAAAACTCAATGTACTGATTATACAGCACACATAAAGATGAGGGTAGTAGGTGTGGGGGGTATGATTATATAGTACATGTATATACATATCTTAGAATTTATGGATGCCAGACATGTACAATGCCTTCAGCGCCAGCAACGCCTGCAGCAACTGTCATAGTTTCCTCATTTACAGCTAAACTAGTAACACAATTTGATGTTGGATACGTTTTTAGTAATTGTGTTGCTCCTTCAATACTCCAGACTTTAACTGTTGCATCACCTCCACCTGTAATAATTGTACGACTATTTGACATCCAATATAAACCACCAATACCTATACTGGAATCGGGTGCAATCAAGGATCGAATCTCAGGTGATTCTATATTTGATTTGAAAAAAAAAATATATATGATTAACGTTAAATGGTTTCTTTTTTTTTTTTAAGAAAAAAAAAGGCTTACGTTTATGACTGAGTATATGCAATTTTCTTTGATGATATCGAACATCAAATATAACCACTTCACTTTGTTCTTTATCTGCATTACCGGAAGCAACAAATCGTTCACATGGACTGATGGCAACGACATTGACATCAGCATGACCCGAACGAAATGTGCGTACATTTTTAGGAATTCTAAAATCATGCAAGTGAATATGTTTATCCCCTGACATATCATCAAATCGATTATAATTTCCAGAAACAATATATCTCCCTGTGTTTGATACAGCTAAACTAGAAACACAACCTTTCATAGAATCAAACCGTGTACATGATCTACCTGAAACAATATTATACGCTTCCACCTATATAAAGAATTAGCAAAAGAAAAAAAACGTTTATACACATGTATATAATTTACACAGCCAGGACGTTCTAAATCTTTGTTGTTGATGCCTAGGAATAATGACTCGGATGATGCATGATGTCCAAATTCAGCACAATCAACATGGGGATCCGAATAAAAATCAAGATCCAATTCGCAGGCAACACCAGATCCTTTCTTTCCAGATCTATCCATTCTCCATACTGTAGCTGATCCATCATCTGAACAGGTTGCCAATACATTCTCATTACAAGCGTAATTAACTGCAATTTGATTAATGGGTTTACAGTGGTACTCTTTTTAAGAAAGAAAGCAAGATGTTGAATATATTACAAGTACACATACATATATATTTAATACTTACTTAATGTCGATACAAGTTTACCATCTCTTGCTCTCCAAATGTTTGCAATACCATCATGGGATGCTGAATAAATTAAGGTTTGATCCTTTGACATTTTGACATCAGTAACTGTCCTCCAAATAGCTATTTTTATATAAATTAGCTATCAAAAAAGTATTCCTTTCATTTATTATTATTATTTCTTTTACCTGGTGAGTCTGTACTATTTTCTGTTGTATTCCCAGTTCGATGACCTTTTAGCAATTTGCAGTCATTCGTTTTCGAGGTCCATAATCGTAAGTTACCAGGTAGATTATATTGTACATTTTCATCACATACTGATCCTATCGCCAATCGAATACTAATAATAATAATAATAATAAAGATTAATAATAAACCAAAGTAAAGTACAAGAAGAAGAGGTTCATGATATTTACCCTTTTGCTGGGTCTTTAAAGATAGCTAAAGAAATAGCATCCCCACTACCTTGATTGATCTTTTGCTCTCTTTTCATATTAGCTAAAAGAATGTCTTTCATTGCTGTAGTGTTCATGCGTCCAACAATGGAGCATTTAGCTTTTACTTCACATCGAGATCTATATCTAGGTCGAGCTTTATAGATAGATATGTATAAATAAAAAATAGATGTGTAATACAAACATGAATGATACTCACCTTTATGACGTCTCACTATGATTGCCTTATTAAACATTTGATGATTGCCTTCTAGATAATCTGCCCAAAAGTATCTACATTCTGTTGGTGTTCTACCTGGTAATAAAGTAGACACATACTGCCAGAAATCAACCATATCCCTACCAATCTTTGCTCTCTTTGTTACCTGTTTACTGACACAATTCTTTATAATTTCAACTTCATAAGGTTGAAAAGGATAATGCAAGATGTCAGCCACATCTAATTGAGCCCAATCTTCCCAATTTGAATTATACCAAACACATGTTGGAACATATGGTGTATCAGATACTTGGTGGATATTAGATAGTGAGGGTGATTGGCAATCCTTAAGCTGGCGGCTGTTATTAGGAAGTTTATCTCTAGAACGTGTACGACGAGTACGTGGTGTTTCTAAAAGGGCATTAGATGTGGGTATAGGTACTGATGGTTCAGTTACAGACTGAAGATATACTTCCATCATACGTAAGAGTTCTATTTTTTCTGTATTTGGTGGTATAAAGGTATCTATTATCATTTGTTGTTCTTCATCCTAAAAGGTGAAAATAAGTAAATAAATTGACAACATTTTTTTTTTTTTTTTATCTGATAAAGCTTACTAGTTCCATTGGTTCTGTAGTAATTTCTAAATTCATAGTATCGGTAATCAGCTCATTTTCAGCGATTGCGGTTGGAGCAGGAATAGAATTAGCTTCAGTATTAGACAGAGGTATATTTCGCAATTGTGGGGATGGTGATGTAACAGGTACAGGTTCTGAAAGAGAAGAGGGTATAAATGGTAGTTCTTCTATATTATTAGAAGCAAGAGATTCATGTAAATTCTCTCTAATAACTTCGTCCTTAATTGGTAATACTGTTTGACTGCTTGTTGCGTATTGTTCTTGTTTTAATTCAATAGATTTGGAATCAGTAATAAAAGATTGTGAGGATGTAGGATAAAGAGCAGGAAGATCGTTCATCATCTCATGTTTTATCTGTAGCTGTTGATTAGAAGTTTGATCTTGATTTTCCTTTTCATCATCCACGGTTAAATCAACGTTATTATTGATAACTTCTTCATCATCATCAGAATCATCTAAAGCAATAGGGGCATCTTTACTACCTTCTAGTTTCCTCAACTTGGTAGGTCGTAAATTTTGATGATTCTCGTGATCAACATTAAAGGACAGGATGTCTTCATCTTCTTCATCACTACTTAGGACAATTAAATTTTTTTTTGGTTTCTCCTTAATAATGTAACTAAACATAGAATTTGTCATGATTGTTTTTGCTGCTGCTGCTGCTGTAATTGGAATTGAAGCTGTTGTATTATTTATGAAAGTATCTATCGCTTTTTCCATACGTCTAATAACAATAACAATAACAGTAACAATATATATATTATATGTATATGTATATGTATACAAATATAAATATATATGTATAAATAAATAAATAAATAAATAAAAAAAAAAAAAAGCTTTCAGAAACGCAGCAAGTAAAAATTATATTGAAACAAAAGACTTCGGTTTGAGTTAATTTTTTATTATTATTTTCAGGTCATCTTTGAAACAAGAGTAAAAATTGAATAAAAATATTCTGATGATCGAGGGTTGATTAAATGAATCTTGTCCTGAAATACTTTAATCATAATGGACAAGAAAGATCATTGTTTAAATAAAACAAAAAGTTAGTATAGCATTTCTATTTTATATTAATTTTATTATTATTATTTTTGACTAAAATGTATAATGACATCTTTGAGGATGTGTTGATTAAGAGAGCATTCTAAGGTAGAAACAAGTGGTGCAAAAGGAGTTGAACTATTGGAAAGTATTGTCTTTTATTTCCTCACTGAAGAGAGTTTAATTATATGTATTATTATTTTGAATAAAGTATTAAAGATCTTTGTATATGTTTGAATTACAGTGATGATGATAATGTGTCTGCAATCTAAGTGTACCCTCCCCTTTTTTTATAATTATTATTCGGGTAAAAGAATGAGGAGCAAACACTTGGTTTCATAAAGTCAAGAGTTTCATTTGATCAATAGATGTATTTTGTGATTAACAAAAGCCAAAGTATAATACTTCACAGTTACGCTAATACTATCATAACTACATGTGTTTCAATCTTTTTCAGTCTTGCAGGACATTTTATAAAAAATAGATCCTTTAATTAATTAGATAGAAAATACATAATTTCAGAAAAGTGGAATCCTACACAAAAGATGTTTACATTGTACAGTCTGGGAAACTAGGTTGGGCCAATAAAAAAATAATTGGGTCATTCAAAAATTAAATTGGGACAGGAATACGAAAATGGAGAGAGGAGAATAAGATTTTTTTCTGGACGAAAAAAAAAAAAAATTAGATACAGCATACCTGTAAATATCTAAATCTCTTTAACAAGAGAAACCGTATACGAGACGGCGATATAAAAAAAAACAAGACCTATTGTTCTCTCGTGAACTTTCGTGGATGCCCATGACCACCAATCACTTGTCTTGAGATCTTGAATATATTTTTTGACGCGTTGACGTCGCGTTGCCACATTATTCTATAACTTTGGCAAGTTTGAACACTGTGCAACCCAATGTAAGCATCAGTCAAGCATGTTTGAAGACATGTATGACAGGTCTATATTTACAGTATTAATAAATTATTCTTTGACCAGTTTTGGTAAATCTTGTTGTACCTTTGAAGTCTTGAACTCATCTACAGAAGCAAGTAAAAGTTCCCCTGATTTCTGTCTTATTTTGAGTTGTTTGTAAAGAACTCCTGTCACTCCCACCCCGAGACCCTTCAAATGTACACCATCTTTTCCGAACATGCCATTTCCGAAAGCTATAACAGGCAATTTACTCTTATCGTATTTGAAAGGTTGGAGCTTCCAAAGCTTCTTGGTGTTCCTAAAATAATAGTTGATGAATATAGTGTTTGTCTCTCTGCTTTGATGCTAGTATACTCACTTTGTCTGCTGGGGAACTTATTTGTCTCTCCTCTTCTTTCTTTTCTTCCTCTTCTTCCTATTCTTCTTTGTGTTCTTTCTTCTGGCCTTATTGTATTTCTTTTCCACCATTAATGAGGACATTGGCTATTTCTTGTCTGGCCTTTTGAATTCCCTGGTATAGGTGAAAGCGACTTTCAGTAGTTGAGAAGTTGTTAAATACTAGTATTCTGTTTAGATGTAAGAGGGTATAAGTTATGTATTGCAAATAGTTTGAAAGAACAGCTGTCTTGGTTGTAGGAATGTTGAAAAGTATATCCTCTATATTTTCTCGAGACATTTTTTTTGTTTCTCTCTTTGCGTGTCTTGTAGACCCTGTTACGGTATAGTACTCTTTAGTAGAGCATCACCTGGTTTGATGGGATTCATCACCCTCCCCATAAGCAGCAGCAAAAACCTGATATCGATTGGGATCCAGCCCGCAAAGAGAAACATCAGCCAAGTTTTCATTCTTTATAGCATCTCCCAATTGGAAAATTTCTACGTCTTCACTAGATAGGCATCTGTATTCATCTGTACTGTTTGTAATTTTTTGCAATAGAACCACATCAGCTGAAAATCCATCGGTTTTAATGACATTTGAGAATGTGATCTTTTTTTGTCTATCCGGGTTTTGGAGGTCTTGAAAGCTGTGTATTTTAGATTGTGAGTCATCAACACTAGAAGCAATATATAGTAATTGCCTATTTATCTTCAATCTTGTGAAATCAAACACTGTATTGAACATTTCTAGTTTGGCTTCATAAGTGGTAGGCAATTTAATCCTAGCAAAAACAGAAAGAGCGTTGGCATATATGGATACGAACCTCCATTTTAAGGAGGGTACTGGAAAAAACGAAAAAAAGACGAGGGAGATAAATACGATCTTGCTGATCTTGCCTGCCAGGACTTCTCTGGGATTCTTCATGATATTGTTTACTTTTTTTTTAATATGTGGGCTAAGAAGGGTATATAGGCTCCAGAAGAGGCAAACAGACTTATTAAAGTAATAGGCTTGGGCATATCAATTGACGATAATTCACGTAATATTGTGTTAATATCTAATTTTTTTATCGTTGTACTTTTCAGGTAGTTCATTGGGCCAGACTGGCGAACCACTGCAGATACATTGATAGCAATAGTTATAAATACTGTTTCTTATATGAAAATTGCTAGAATAGCGATGGAATTAATGGGTCAGTTTGTAAATAATAATCTAATTTTGTGCGAATTTACCTGTGTGAATAATTTTGAAATCTCATACATCATATATGACTTTACTCTTGATTCAAAAACTTCTACAATGGCATTTGTGTACGTAGTAGCGAGTTCAACACAAGCGGCTGTTAAGTAATGTGAATAGCCATTTACAGGAACCATATCGTATGTGACGCTGTTGTATCCAGCACAAAAACTCTCCCAGCAAGCTATACGATTAAAGAATAATTTTATTTAAAAAATTAAAAAATGACCAATGAGCACATTAGCATTTATATGCTGCTTTGCCCTGGTCAGATTGCTATATATATATGTATATATATATATGTATATATATAAAAAAAAGGAAAGAAAAACCCTTTTGGGATAAAAGGGAAAATGTTAAAGTGTATGTATAAGTGATAATAGTTAACTATCGGAAAATCGTTGTTGTATTGAAAGAAGATGATAGTCAGAGGGTTTAGGGATTTGGGAGTGAAGCTAGATAGTCCATCTCCAAGCAGAATTGCACATATGGAAGGCCAGCGTATGAGCCAGGCATCAATTGATTTTCTCACTTTCTTAGTATGAAATGTTGATGGTAATAGATTCAAGAGATAAGAGAATGGATCTTCAATAGATTTGGGTATCTGAAGGCGGATATGCATATGCAAACAAGAAAAACTATGTGAGTGTGTGAAGAGTTCATTTGGATGGAAGGGGTAGGCTTGGGGTTTACCAAGAGGTAACCAAATCTCAAATACGACAGTTGTCAATTTATTTATTTATTTTTTTATTCTTCCTACCCTTTCTTCTTTTTATTTATCATAAGTAATTAAAAGTGGATCCTTTAAAAGTAATAACGATTAAAAACTCTATATCTGGGATAGGGTGGAAACCCGAATACCTCCCAAGGTTCAAAAAACTCGTGCGCACCATAAACACACTTGTGATTCACATTTTTGCTCTAATCAAATTTATATTCATCAGTGAATTAAAAAGATGTGAAGCATTCGATATCGAAAAAATATGCTAAAAAATACTTTTACATACAAGTTTTTTTTTTTTCGTCACTTGTGCAACATACGAAGAAGTTACTACCTACAAAATCAATTAAAATCACAGGGTTTAGAAATTTGATTAAGAACTACTTGAACGAATATTGTGGATTATGTGGCTATACCCCCATAGAATTGAAATATTCTCAGCAAAATTGCTGTATATGAGTGCGCAAAGATAGATACTGCCTACAAAAATGACATCATGCTGCAATTTGGCAATAAGCTAAGGATGTTCATAAATTTACTGACACAGCAAAAAGACAGAACAGCGGCAAGAAGAAAAATATTGAAAAAGCAAAAACTGGCCGAAGAAGAGACTAAAAAAAAAAATCATTGAAAATGAGATAACACAACTTTGCGCTCAATTGAAGTTATCAGTTGCTTCAGGAAATATCCAAAATTTAACCGTGGATCAGTTAACCGAAGAAGCGATCGCAAATATACGAGATTTTTGTTGGCATTTATAGTTTACAATATAAATTCAAGAACAACAACATTTATTATGACTGCAAAGCGAATCCTATTGCTCACTTAAAAGCATATTATAAATTAGCTGATTTATATGAATGTTTAGGTTCCAAATCATTCGCATGCTTCTCATTAAGGCGAACTCATATATCATGTTATGTCACCATTGAGTCTATGATATTGAATAACAATATTTTGGAAGATTCCCAAAGATCAAAACTAAATAAAAACCTTATTTGGGAGGAAAAGTCGTCAACATTTCCTGCAAGGCCCTAAAAGATCAAGGTGATGCAAAGTCACTCAAGTTTCGTGGGATGATCCATACAGATAGTGTTGGGGCCTCGATATTGAAACAAAATAAGGAAACCAGCAAAGGCGGCACAAAAAACATCAGTAAACGTTTGCAAACAGATAATAACGAGTTTCAATACATCGATAAGTTGAACAACGAAGAGCATCAACGTACCACCAACAAGTGCGTATTTATAGATCCTGATAGAAGGGATATGTTAATTTGCATGGGCGAGAAATGCGAATCAAGACATGATGGCTTCATATATCGATACACCAGTAATCAAAGGGCTAAGGAGATAAATTCAAGGAAATTTAGAAAATTTCATCAGCAAAACAAGCCCAAGATAGTCAGTGATTTGGAGAAGTCCTTGACTACGCATTCCACTTCGACAGTTGATTTCCAGAAGTACTCTAGATATTTAGAAGCAAGACGGGATGCAAGTGATCTACTTTCAAACTATTATCGATGTGATTATCTTGGATCACTTCCTTTCAGGAAAATAAAGCTTCCTTCTTATATCAATAGGAAACAATCAGATGCCCGTCTGGCAAAGACGTTAAAGCGAAAATTTGGTGAAGACTGTGTACTTGTTTTTGGCAACTGGTCCGCCAGTAATACAAAATATCACGAACCTATCAGAGGTGTTGGTATGAGGAGGATGTTGAAGAAAGAAGGGCTACAATTATACTTGTTTGACGAATACAAGACGTCGTCGTTCTGCCCCAAATGTAAAAATGGGAAGTTGAAAAAATTTCCTTATGTCAAGAACCTTCGACCGTATATACGAGGCAAGCATCCAGTAGTTGAGTGCCACGGCCTGTTACGGTAAACATCAATTTTATTTTATTTGTTTTTCTTTTAAAAAAAAGACAATTTCTTATATTTTCTTTCGCCAGATGTACAAATCAAAAATGTTTAGTGCCTTCTCGACTCTGGAACAGAGACTTGGCTACCGTTTTGAATTTTAGAGATATTGTGTTAAGCCACAGGCAAGTCCTTGGTCGCCTCTCTAGATTCAAAAGGGAAACATCAAAACGTGCTTCAACAAGCACCGCCATCTCCACTTCCAAAAAAATCTGCTCTATGCCTTCCGACGACGTTTCTTCTGAGGGAGGAAATACTAATAGAGTAAACGTATGATGCAGGTAACTTACATACATCCGAAAACTGATTTTTTTTTTCTTTTCGTCTAATTTCTGGCTGAATTTGAAGTGTAAAAACTGAGGATACAATAAACCTTCAGATGCCCAAATCTATTGAAGATCCGTTCTCTTATCTCTTGAATCTATTACCATCAATATTTCATACTAAGAAAGTGAGAAAATCAATTGATGCCTGGCTCATACGCTGGCCTTCCATATGTGCAATTCTGCTTGGAGATGGACTATCTAGCTTCACTCCCAAATCCCTAAACCCTCTGACTATCATCTTCTTTCAATACAACAACGATTTTCCGATAGTTAACTATTATCACTTATACATACACTTTAACATTTTCCCTTTTATCCCAAAAGGGTTTTTCTTTCCTTTTTTTTATATATACATACATACATACATATATATATATATATATATAGCAATCTGACCAGGGCAAAGCAGCATATAAATGCTAATGTGCTCATTGGTCATTTTTTAATTTTTTAAATAAAATTATTCTTTAATCGTAGATGAAACAAAAAAAGAGCATCTCTGGCTTCGGATTTATAATATGATTATTGGCTCTATTTTTTTTTTTTTTTTTTTTTTTTTTATAAAGGCAAGAAATTGCTACTCTGTCTTTCTTGTTGGTTCTAATCTAAAAACTTGAAATTCGGGTCACGATGATCGAAAAGAGCTTGTACTACTCTTGTAATTGGAGACAATCGACAAGATTCAATCAATCAAAGATTTATACTATTAGGCTTGTTGACTGAAAATGAAAGAAGTTTTTAATTATGTCGATTCCACTAGGCGTTAATTTAAAAATTCAATATATAATATATGTTAGTTAGTTATTTCTGATATACTTAGTCTATGTTACATCAATGTAATTTATTAAGCATTTTCTTTGTGTTATATCATTCATTTATACTTAAATCCGGTAAAGCTTCTAGCTAATTAAGTACTTTGATATGATGATCATAAAATCTTTTAAACATATGCCGAAATAAAAAAAAAAAAAAACACATTCTTAATTTTTAGCTTACAATTATTCAGCATTCTTAAAAATATACATATATTTTCCTAAAGAATGTTGTAAAACTACTTGGAATCTATCTTCATGATTAAGCTAGTAATACAACTAAAAAAAAAAAAAAAAAAAAAAAAAAAAAAAAAAAAAAAAAAGAAATGCCTCGACCACTAAGCTTATATTTATAATTCAGATTATGATGGTCCTATAAAGACAATTCTTCTCTGGCACAGACTTATGTTTTACCATTGAATCCTCGAATAATTTATATTTGTTTCATCATTGAATGCTATACTTCCCCCAGTGACAGTACGCTTTTGCAAAGGCAGATCATTCTTTCCATTTTTTTTTTTATAACTCAGGTGCCGATGGCAAAAATAACAGCCTGACATAAAATCGAATAGCAATAAATTACATAATAATATCATTATAACATTAAACCTTAAATTATATAAATTGTTACAAAATATATGAATCTAACTATCTAGAGATAGAAGAGAAGCCAAATGATAATATTTAGAAAGAGTAATAGTTCGTATCAAAACTAATGTAAAATACAACTTGAATACATATACTGTATAGAAAAACAACCTAAACGAGTAATATACCATTTTTTTTTGGGGGGGAAGGGAGTAATGATAATAACAAGTAGATATATTATATACTAATAGTAATACTATAATAGTAATAATAAATATTATAATAGTAAGCAATTGTGCTAGTAACCTTATATCTACAATCATAACAAACTGCAAAGCATTATCTTGATTAGCGCACAAATCCTTAATCTTAGAAATAATATACATACGTCCTTAACTTTGTTTAAATTATCTTAGTTCTTTAGTCTTATTTCCTTCTTTTAAAAGAGTTTGATAAAACAATCTGTCCATCTATTTTTCATACCTTGATCTAACACTCATTATATAAGAAACCTCTCTTTCTCTCTTTCTCTCTCTCTTTTTTTTTCTTCGTCTTTTATTTTGAACTTTTCTTCAATGCCGCATCTAATAATTTTTACCAGAAGCTGAAAGATTGATTCAAGCAAAAAAAAAAAAAAAAAAAAAAAAAAAAAAAAAAAAAAACGTTGAGGCTATCTTTTCTGAGTTGGTGCATAAAATGAACAAGTATCATGAATATGGCTGAATAAACGGGGGGGGAAATACAAATATCACGCAAGTAAACAAACTGAAAGAGGTTGATGCTTAATGTACGTTTGTTGGTAAATAAGTAAGTAAGTAAGTGCTTCTTTCTTTGTTTGTTTTAATTTGATGAATTATCAAGCAAATGATAGTTCTTAGGTATATGGAAGCATATTATCAGATCAATAGCAAATGGCACTAATCCTATTTTTTTTAGATACTATGACTATTTCTACTACTACTAGATTACTATTTCTACAGAATATCCATCAAATAACATTGAGAAGAAGAAAAAAGTGATACTATTGTAGAGTTGTGAATTATATTAGATAAAAAAGGGAGGCATAGATTTGATAAGTTACTTAGAATAAGGTCTTAGTTTATTGTACGCATTATATGTACTGCCCTTCTCATCTTAACTGAGAACAATGATAGAATAAAATTATAATGAATACCTGTATAAAAAAAAAAGAAATGTATTAAAAGTATCAGCATCAAAATGAGTATATTCTTTCAACTTATCCTAGAACTCCAAAGATATTTTATTGGATTATTTAATCGGTAAATGTGAGTAAACAGACACTGCTGACTATATAACTAAAGTCTTCCGTTTCACTAGGTTGATCTTTCTATCACTTTTATTAGATAAAACTAAGATTTATCAAAGAGAAATACGTACTCTTCAATATAACACTATTTTTTCTGAAGTATGTGACATACTTTTTTTTTTTTTTTGATAGTGTAAAAGAGTGATTCCCCTAATCTGTCACACCTGCCAGATTTTCAGAAATAGGGGTTGTAAAGAATATTAATTCCTGATAAAAATATATATTTATATGTATATGTATAACTCTTACTTCAAAACATACTTTAGTTATGAAGCTTCAAGATATAGAAGGGAGGGGAGAGAAGCTTAGACGGTAGATTTACGAGATTTTGAAAACTTGGGATTTTCAACTTTCTTTAGATGATCTTTCTCACTTTTTTTTTTTTTTTTTTTTCATGGGTACACATTTTTTTTTTTACACAAGTCTGCTCTAGTTTCATGATTTGTAACCTTGGGAATTTGGGATCTCGGATGTCTGAGCAATATTACGAGTCTTAGTCATAGACGCGCAGTTTCCATTACACAACATAAAACTAGATTGAGATTTTGGAATTTGAGACTTTGATTCATACTATAGATACACAAGCCTGTCTAAAGGATCAAAAAGAAGATTTTAGTTCAAGCAATCTTTATTCAACTTGATTTATTCATATCGAGGTAATGAGTAGAAGTATACGAAATAAAACTTAAAGAAGTACTAGATGTTGATGCCTATGATGAACATTTAACAAGCCTCAAAGTTGAACACTCATTAAGGAAGCAAATAATAATAATAATAATACGAATATGATTACTTACAAGCTATTCTGATTATCATATATAATAGTCGTTAAAGTAAGCAAAAAAAAAAAAAAAAAAAAAAAAAAAAAAAAAAAAAAAGTTCAACTTCCTAAGGTCTTTTGATATTGGATATATGAGGAAAGACATAACTACTACACTTATTCAAACCACATAGCAATTTGAAGATGAATTACTTACTAAACACAAGCATTTGAATATAAATAATTGATAGATGAACAAGTCCTACGATCATCAAATAAATCTACTATGCTTATGAGTTGTTTCAGACAAACCTAAGATGAATACCTTAATAATAGTAATAATAACAATAATAAAAAAAAGAAGCTCCTTCTCGGTCATTTTACTTTATTAAGCGAACCTCATTATATAAACTTAATTACAAGCTCTCTAGTTTTTAGTTATAATATAGCTTATTATGCTATTATTGAACGTGATACATTAACCAAAGTACTAATACATATCTTTACTTTACCTATTCAAAGTATATCCATAAGTAGCTATATAGATTTAGTTCTAGTTGACACGATAAAAACAATTCTTTAAAGAAGTTTTAAGAAAAGACACTAAATTATGAGCTTTTCGTATTTGGCATATAAATGGAACGACTATAGTGGATTCTACAGTACATACATTTTGGTTTAATGCAAAACAATCGAGTATGTTGGGTAGGGATTTTGATAACAGCAAAGTGAATATACAAAGTCTAGTTCTTTTTAGCTTTATTTAATTACGTATTAAACCACAACCTTGTATGATTTTAGTTTAGACAGCAGATGAGTAAATACATACAACTAATTTGCCATACGAAAGAATTCTAATACTGTTGCTACTATAACTCTTTTAAATTGTGAGAATCCAAAACATGTTTTCTAACAACTGTACTAGTGGTTCACATTTAAAGAAATACTTTCTATCCATTGGATAGCCTTTTGGAAAGGATAATAAATTTATTTCAAAAGCCGCAAATGATATAGCAGCAAGGCCTATCCAGTTATATAAAAAAAAAAAAAAAAAGAACCATTCATAACACCATATTTATAAACTATAAAGTTTTATATTTCTAGAAAGTAAAATAAAAAGTCAAATGTAACCCAGTTAATTTAATCTACACATGTACAGAAATATTTACAGAATATATTGGACTCTATTCATTTACAATACGTACACACATGTTTAGTAGTGATACCAACTAATTTTATAATCGACTGTAGCAGTAGTTTATTTCAACTAAATTTTGGTAAAATAGAATAAAGTATTAAATAATAACTTGAAGTGCTTCAACATACAAAATGATGATGCCAGCTTTTTATGTTACCCCTATTTTATCATTTTTTTTTTTTTTTTTTTTTTTTTTTTTTTTTTTTGTAATATTGACATATTTTTTTTAATGTGTTACCAATATAACTTTTTTTTTTCTCTCTCT